TTTTCTTGTTGCCTCTTGGAGTTGCCTTTGGTGATCTGAAAGTCTAGTTTTGAGTCTTGTTTAGTTGTCTTTCAATTTCTATTTTGTGGTTGCTGTCGTTGATGATGATGCTGCTACTGCTGCTGCTGCTGATGATGATGATGATATTTTGGGTTTAATTCCTGTGTTGCTGCTTGCAAATTGATTTTGGGGAATATCTTTATCACCAGTATTTCAAACCCTTAGGGAATGATTACTTCTTAGATAATCTCCCAGTTTTGGTTGGCCTCTGGGTTTTTAGTCTATAGTTGCCCTTAAGCAATTTTGGTCTTGGTATACCAGGAAGGACAACTGACTAGAACAATAACATCACAGTGGCCAAAATAATACAATCAGCAACTACAATAGCATCAAACACAGCCTTAAAAAAATGAAAAACTATGGTAACTATTAATCTAACACTTTTGACCACATGAATGAGACTTGTGGTTATATATCAAAATCTAGAACCAAACAAATATATTTTTAGTCAATAAGCTACTCAATATAGCAAATTTGCCCTCTGGAGAGATTTAGGAGTAGTTGTGTGTTGGGGGATGTAAGTAGGAAAATGTTAAAAGTAAGGTTATAGGAGACAGGAGGATCATGTCAACCTTGGGAAACTGGTGAAGAGAGAAGGAAAAGAGAGAAGGAAGGAACAAAAACAAGAACAGAACAAACTGATAGCAACAGAAAAACCACAAACTCTATTTTTGTTCCTATAAAAATAAGAACAATTGATAAAAAGCAGGAACAAGGAAGGCAAGAAATGAAGGAAAAAAGAAATGAAGAAAAAAAAAATGTCCCATTCAAATCATGTCTCTGTTGTCCCTGGTGAACAATGTGGGTAGCATACAAACTGTGTTGACTGATCTCAGAGAGCCAGCCATAGTCCTCTGAGGTTCAGGCTGGTTTCCAGCTGTGAGGCTGGAACTGAGCTTCCTGACTTCCTTCAGGTTTGAACTCTGCAGTGTTCTACTGCAGTTTGAGCTGCCCTTCCCCCACAACAAGTCTGGTTCCCATAGGAGGTGTTGACCCCAACAACTCCCCAACCACTGCAATCTGCTGAACCTTTATTGAGATGACTCTTTGCTCTCCCAGTGGGTTTCATTTCTCAGCAAGCCTCGGAGAGACCTTCTCTCTACTTCTCACCATTGCACCAATTCCTGGGCTCAGAATGATGGTCTTCTTTATCCCCACTGCACCACTGATCCAGGGGTCTCTGGCTGAGGCCTGCATGCCCTTACTGATGGTATATGGGCAGGCCTCCAGCTAGGAACTCTGACTTTTACTGTTATTATTTAATTGTTACTTTAGAGATGATAAAATGCATAGGTAGTGCTATGGTTTGCATCCTTATCCCCAAACTTGGGTTGAAATTTAATTGTTATTATAAGAGAAGAGGGAACATTAAGGGGTGAGAAAGTGGGGGTAAAGGAATAGTTCTCCATTGTTGGTGGGAGTATAAATTGCTATAATCACCATGGAAAGCAGTGTCAAGATTCCTCAAAAAATTAAAATAAAGGTTCAATTTGAACCAGTTGTTCTCCTTCTTGGTATCCTCCCAAAAGAATTAAAAACATTATACCACAGTGCATGTTTATAACAGCAGAATTTATAATACCTAAATCTTGGAAACAGCCCATATACTTATCAACAGATGAATGAATAAAGAAAATGTGGTATTTATATACAATGGAGAGTTACTCTGCCATAAGGAAGGATAAGCTTGTTTTAGGTAAATGGATGCAGTTCAAGACTATATATTTTAAGTGAAATAAATCAGAAATTTATATATTGCATTGTTTACTTTTTGTTTTTTGTTTTTTTGGTACCGGGAATCGAACTCAGGTCCTTGTGCTTGCGATGCAGGCGGCAGAACCACTGAGCTAAATCCGGGCCCCTGTATTGCATTGTTTTATCTTGTGTGAGAAACTTAAGGTGTAAGTAAATAAGGAGCGAAATGGAGGCTATTGAGAAGTAGGAAGAATATGTTCAAATGGGAACATGGGGGGAGAGAGAGGGAAGGGAAGACAGTGAAAATGGAAAAGGGAAAAAGAAAGGAAGAAAAAGGGTGGAAACAAAGCTTTTGTAAATGGGGAGGTAGAAGGTTTAAAGGGAGGGGAGGGAAATGGAAAAAATAAGACAATAAATTATTCTAATATATTTCATGCTTTTTAATAAATGAAATATTTCTTCAATTATATTTTAATTGATTAGTCTTTGTATGTAGGAAATTAAAATTTTCCCATTATTATTAATGTTGTATCAACAATCTTATTTATTACCTCTAATTATTTCTAGTATATTTTTATCAGTTGATATGCTTGGCTTTTGATGACAAAGAATTCATAGCTGTGCTTTCTTTTTTACAATATCCATCCTTTTTACTGCTTACTTGAATAAAGGGACATGAGCCTGGGTGGGTCTTAATCTCAAGCTTGGTGATAGGGATGAGGCTATGGATACTTTTGCTAAAATTATCCACTTATTATCATGTGAATCCCCTCCTCAATGTGACTGGCTCAAGGGTAGGGGGAACAGGCACAGGCAGAGCCCAGGGTGACCTGGCACTTCACTAGGCATAGCCATTTAAGGGGTTGAACATACTACTCAAGAACATCCAGAGTTTTCAGAAAAGAACCTCTCTCTTCGTGCTCTCTAAGGTAACAGACCCAACTGAAGCCTGGAACCAGACCTCTGCAGTCCTTTCTCTCATGACAGAAACATCCCAACACACGAAAGAACACAAAACTAAAAGAGCAGGGATAAATCAAGCAAAAGCATTGAAACAAATCATGCTTGAAAGCAGACCAATATTATAATAGCAAATAAAGCCCATTTCATTTCTTAAACCAGTGTGCATTATTTGTGATCCAAATTGCCCTAATGGATATGTCAGCTCCATGCTGTGTTCAAGAAGCTTGCCTGAAAGGAACGGCTAAGTATAAAAATAAAGACATGTGGAAAATTACACCAGGTAAATATATGCAAACAGAAAGTTGGAATGGCAAAATCAAATCAGATAATGATTCAAAACCAAGAGCATGAAGCAGGAAAAAGAGGCACACTGTGAAGTCTAAAAGACAGGGAATGCTTGTCCACTAAAATCTATAGCAGCAAAATACTGAGAAAGAGAGATAAGCTTTCATAAAAATCACAATCCTATTGGGGAATTGTACAGCAGAGTTCAATGGGCCAAGCAGACAGAAGTAAGGGTACAATATAAATAATACAATGTTTAAAAAGCTACCTTTTTCTTCCCCATAAAGTTTTCCTATCTGATTCTTTCCCATAAAAAAATGTTATTATTTTCCATCTTTAAAAAATCAAATCAGCTAGCCTGGCATGATGATACACACCTGTAATCCAAGAACTCTGAGAGGCTGAGACATGAGGATTGGAAGTTTTAGCCCACTCTGAACAATTTAGTAACTTAGTGAGACCCTGGCTCAAAATAAAAAGTAAAAATTGGCAAGAGCTATAGCTTAGTGTGAAGGGCTTGGTTTAATCCCAAATATCACCAAAAAAGAAAAAAGTAGTCTTGTCCACATCCTCACATCTTTCTGCCCTTCCCACCAGCTACCACCCATTTCTTTTCACTTTTAGAACAGTCACCCATGCCCCCTCCCAGAATTCTTTCTGTCTCACGTGACCTGTTCCACACAGGTCTCATCCACCACCATTGGCAAGGGACAAACATTCCACGCTCACCAGGTGCCATCCATTAACACCACTTAATCCATTCACTGATCATCATCCTCTTACAGACCCTCGCTGGCCTTGCACTGGGTGTCACCCTTGGCTCGAGGACAGACCTAAGACAGGAATGAATGTAATAATATTGAGTTTTCCTAGATGGAAAGATATATTCTCATTAAAATGTTAATCCTTCCAATTAAGAACATAATTAAATACCACTACAGTTGGAATTTTTAAATTTAAGTCTTTTTGTATATGTCATATATTTCATAGTATTAAATCTTATGATATAATAGAAGAAAAACTTCTGAATAAAGAAACTCCTGGACATAAATTTTAAAGATGTGCACTAAGCTTCAGAAATTGCCAGGTATGGTGGCACATGCCTACAATGCCAGCACTTGAGAGGCTGAAGCAGGAGGATTGCTGTGAATTCAAGGCCAGCCTGGGCTGTACAGTAAGATCAAAAAAAAAAAAAAAAAAAAAAAAAAACAAAACAAAACAACAATGGAAAAAGAAATGATTTAATAGAGTTAAAATATAAGAAGATCTGTTCTCCCACCTCCTTAGCAGACCAGTACAAGACAAAGAGCTATAAATACACAATGAGCATCTATCTCCTAATTCATAAAAGGAAAAAAAATAGAATTAATGCAGTTAAAGTTCACAGTGTACACATTTTAGATCCCATATCCCTACCCATGAGGTAGCTACTGGCTTGAATTTGTAACTTATTATTCTACTCCATTACATCATATTCTCACAGTGCTATACATATAGAAATGTTTGTGTTTTAAGCTTTACATAAATAATTTTAAAACCCGCATGCTTTCTTTGCCATTTTGTTTTGAATAACAGAATGTTTATAAGATAATCATGCACCATATTAAATTCCAGCTAATACTCGATTTTCTTTTGCCAGGGTATAAATCATTGCCAACTGGGATCTCCACTTCCAGGAGATCTGAATTAATTTTTCACTGACTTATCTGTGGCTTCTTCTCATGCCTACCCTACCTACCTCTGATCTTTTTTTTCAAAGTTGATTCTTTGCTTCTAAAGTAATTATCATTTCAAAATTGATTGTGTCTTACCCTTTAATTTATTTCTTAAGCATAACAACTCTCCTTTCCATTCACATGACTTTAATTCCATGGAGAAAAGAAAGGAAATTTAGTCTATTGTTTTTATTTCCTGAAGTAATTATGTTTCTGTGTCTTATTTGTTTTGCTTTTACATGTCATGTTCCTTTTTTGTGATTTTCAAGGAAGTCCTGTTTTTCCTGTTTCTTCATCTTTTATTCGGCACAGTTTCATCTGGTCCTGAGGTTGGCCCTGCAGCACTGGTGGGTTGGCACCATATCCACTGAATGTTTTCCTGGTTCCAATGAACTGTCCTGTATAACTCAGTCTGGAAGTCTGGACACAGAGATGGTAATATGTTTTCAGCTATTCAAGTAACTGAGGAAGGAAGGGAGGGTAGACATGGTCATTGAGTAGCTAAAGGCCAGGTATGTGGAAAGTACCCATGGGCACTTTCCAAAAAATCTCCCCCTCACTGCCCACCTCCTTTTACCCCCACCCACTCTCCATCTGGTTCCAGGGATTGAACTCAAGAAAGGCTGGGCTCCATTCCTTTTTAGGTTTTTGGTTTCCTTTATTTTCTTTTCTTCTTTGAGACAAGGTCTCACTAAGTTGCTTAAATCAGCCTCTTATTTGTGATCCTCCTGCCTCAGCTTCCCAAGTAGCTAGACTATAGGCCTATCCCACAGGGCTCAGCTCCAAGAAATTTCTTGATCCTCACTCCAGCCAATCCCAGGAGGAAAAACACCTGTTGAATTCTATGGATTCTCCCCTTCAAGGTGAAGTTAACTCTGTAGAAAGGCAGGGTGGCATGAGAACTCCTGGCTCAGAACTTTCTGTTAGTAATTAGTTTTGATGACTCTGTTCAGTCCATTTTTCTCAGACAATTGACTCCCAGGTACACAACCCACTGTTGTACAAATCTGATTTTATTTCAGATTGTTCTCTTTTGAAGAGCAAGGCTACTAAACATGTTCCTGGTACAACGATCTCCTTCTCCACCTTACTTCCCGACTGTGGAAGAAATGTATGCTCAGAGTATGGACCTGGCATTCTAGTCCTCCTGTTTTTGAGAGTTAAGAAGAAATGCTATCCCTTATTTCTCAATAACTTTGCTATGCGAAACAATCTGTGTGAATTCTGTCTTTGGTGATATTATCATTGTTTAACTGTTAGATGTTCTTCTTAGACTGTGTTCCATAAATGACTCAGAGTCAAAATAAACATGGAATATTCATGGGGAATACAGGACTTGTGTGCTCTAAGGTACATAGGATTCACTCGGGTTTCTTGTGACAATTTCAGGGGCAGGACTGAGAATCTGCATCTCTGAATAATTTTCAGATTATGCTGATGCAGCTGGCTGCAAACCACATACATAGCATTAGTCAAGGATCTGTAGGAAGACAGAACCAAGATGTCACCCTTGGTTGTCAACTCGAGTGGAGTGAGCGATATCCAGAAAACTGGCACATCCCTCTCCCCACGAGGAATGTGATCATTATGCATGACAAACATGTACCGATAAAGACATTTGAAAAAAACAATTGGTACATCACACTTCCAGTGTATCCTTGAAGGTGTTTCCTGAGAAAAGCAGCACATGAGCAGAGAACTGAGTGGGGAAGACCCATCCTGAATGCAAGCAACACTGTCCAGTGACTTGGAGGCCTGGATGGAATGCAAGGAGGAAGAAGGGGAAGCTTGGGTAGAACCCTCAACTCCTCCTGAGAAGGTGCTGCCATTTACTACAGACATCAGATGAGGTCGGGCACATTCAGGGCTATAGATGCCTATGAACAGCGGATTCCAGAATCTTCAGCTTTTGAACACAGCTTTGTGCCCGTGAGCCCCCAGGGGGCATCTAGGCCTTCAGTGTCAGACTGGGGCTGGGTCATCAGTCCCTCTTTTTCTGAAGCTTCCGGTTTCCCTAGTTTCCAGCCTACGGGTAGCCAGTGTGGACTTTTCAGCTGACATGATCAACCTAATAAGTCCTCTCTGATAATGATGTACACATTCTGTTGGCTGTGTTGCTCTGGGAAACTGATTAATACTGATAAATAATATTCACATATTAGTATTAATATAATATTACATATACAATTGGTCTGTGTGTGTCTCCCACCGTGGAGGCTGAGAGGTCCCCTGATCTGCTGACAACAAATTGGAGCTCCTGGAAAACTAGTGGTGTAGTTCAAGGGCCTAAGAGCTTAAGAGATGATGGTATAGGTTCTGATTCAAGAACAAAGGCCCAAGAACCAGAAAAATCAAGGGCAGGAGAAGATGGATGTCCCAGTGCAGTCAGCCATCCTGAGAATCTACTTCCCTCTGCCTCTTAGTTCTCTTTAGACCCTTGAGGATGCAGACTCACATTGGTGAGGGAGATTTTTATTCAGTCCACCGATTCAAAGGAGAATCTCTTCTGGGAACAGAAAAACAGACACATGCAAAAGTAATGCACAACTGAACACCTGTCCAGCCCATGGCCCAGTCAAGCTGACGCGTGAAATTAATCATCAGGGGCTGCATCATACAAAATCATGTATGTAATCACAGAGCAAGGAAGGAAAGCCAAAATGGCAAGCCGGTCATGATGATGCACTCCTATAAACCTAATGCTCTGGGAGGCTGGAGGAGCACATATTCAAGTCTGCCCTGAGCAACTTCCTGTCTCAACTTCTAAATAGGGCTGTGGGTATCTATCACTGTGAAGGTCCTGGGTTTAATCTCCAGTACAGCAAAATAGAAATGCCAAACAACTGTCCAATAATTTTTCAAATAATAGTTAACATTTTGAAAATGTTTGCCGCATCCAACGTGCTTTCTGTGCATTATCTCATTTAATTCTCAAAAATGGTCGTTTTATAGGTACTTTTTGTTATCTTTTTGCAGTAGCAGGGATTGAACCCAAGACTGCATCACCATCCTGTTTTGTTGTCATGATTATCGCTCTTGTTTGTTTGAGACAGGATCTCATTAACTCACTAAATTTCCCACTCAGGGCCCTAACTTATGATCCACCTTCTTCAGCGTAGCTTGCTTGAGATTAAACATTTAGCAAGTGACATAATTGAGCAATCAAACTACAGCAACCTCAAGCATCCTATCCTGGTGCAAATCTGCAGGCAAACCCATGCCACACCCCTGAAAGCAGGGGTCCCCCTTTGCTTTCCTGACAACGAACTCTGCGCTCAGGGAAACTGGAGAGATGTTGGGAAGACAGATGAGAGATTTTCTCTGAATTCTAAAGTGGCTCTGGTGCTTCCTACCAGGTCCAGGTTGAGAAAGAAGCAAAAAAAACTAAGAAGAAAAGTGATCCAGTGAGAACAAACGAGAAAAGCACTAAAGTGAAATCATCAAGAACAGAAAGAACAAAACTTAGCATCCTTATACTTCAGTTCAGAGTCCAGAGAACTACTGCCTGATGGAATCTTGAAATAAAATTGCCTTAGCCCCAGAAAGTTTGGTGTTTATTTCAAGTGCAAAGGATAAGGAAAACTTTTTTAGTATCCTTTTTTTTTTTTTTTAAATTTATCTTTATTTTTAGTGCTGGAGATTGAATCCGGAGTTGCACATGCTTAGCACATGCTCTACCACTGAGCAATACCCTAATGGTCCTATTCAGAAATCCTGGAGCTTTCTGACCACTCTCCAACCACCCCCACGGGCAGAGTTTCTTCCTCCGTGTTCCAACGTGCTTTCTGCGTAACTCAGAGGACCAAATGTACTCATTCGTTTATTTACTTTTCTCCCTCAGTAGACTGTGATATTTTCAAAAGGACAAGGCCTTAGTTCATTCACATACCATGAGCTTTAGGTAGATGGGAATGGTCATTTTTCAGTCTTGACATCATTTCCTTTTCACTACTGGTGTCCTGCAACCCACCAAAGCTTCTCCTCAATGTCGCTTTTCCTAGGAGTCTTTTCTTACTTCCTTCACTCATTTCACTGTGTTTCCATCATGCCACAAACTATCCTCTCACCGAAGTTTGTAAATCTCTTTCCTCCATTGCATTATAAATCCCTGGTGGCTGTGACTACGGCCTCGGCACATTTGAATTCTCATTAGGGTTTGCTCCAATCCTGTGCATGGGGTGATGATCATAAAATCAGACATCGATGCATACTGAAAGGGAAAGGAAGGGAAAGAAGTTTGTTCACAGTGGAGTGTGCCTGGTTTAGCTGAAATGGACTCACCAGTTGAAAAATCCCAAAGGCAGCCAGGGGAGGTGGTGCATTATTCAGTAGACTGAGGCAGAAAGAGTGCAAGTTCAAGGCCAGCCTGGGCAACTTGATGAGATACTGTTTCCAAATAAGGGGGTTCAGTACAAAGGCCCTAAAAAGAAAGAAACAACCAAACAAAAGGAAGAAGAAAGAAGAAAAGAAAATAGTAAAAATAAATTTAAAAAAGAAAGTGGCCATGTCTTAAAAAAGAAAGTGGGTAATTCAAATTGCCAGGCAATACTAAAGTCTCATTTTTATTTATTTATTTTTGAGGGAGGTGCTAGGAGATTAAACCTAAGGGTATCTGTCCTGCCTCCAAATGCCTCAGCCTCCCGAGTGTACCGCCATGCCCAGCTCAGTCATTTATTTAAAAGCATCATTTGTATTTGTTTGGGGAACACATTACTTTGAGAAGTATTGTTTACATTCTTAATGATATTTACCTCTGCTGGTAAAAACAGAAACAGAAAGCAATCTTTATCTAAATACGATCTTTATCTAAATAGTCTTACCATGTTGGGAATCCAACACAAGAGTAGACGTTTGCTGGTAGCTAACCCACAGGTTGCTATTTGGCCACCTCTTGATTCCCAAAGTTCACTTTTGTGTATCCATTCTACCATCTTGTATCTGACCTGACATGTTTTCATGTAAACTATGAATTTCAACTTAGAAAGAAAAGGAAAAGAAAGAAGAAAGGCTGGGGCTGGGGCTGAGCCATAGAGCTGCACCCAGCTCCCTGGCAGAGCCCCGGGCCTCTTGTCCACCATGGCAAAGGGGATAAACATCTCAAAGCCCCCTTTTCAAACTTGTCCAGGTCTTTTCCGGTATAGGATCCTTCCAGATGTTAATTTCTTTTACTGCGGAATAGACCACTCCACAAGGTGCTCTATTCTTCTTATTCTTTCAAAAAACATTGTGCATTTGGTTTTAGTATAAAAGAAAATACATCAGGAGTTTGATTTACCTTTGAAATGAAAAAAAAAATTTAAATAACCAAATGAAAATTTTAAGAAACAAAGGGATTCAGAAATTTAGAAAAGGATTTAAGAAAGACAAGTGGAATAGGCTGGGTTTGCTTGAAGGGGACACAACTAATAGCTACCAAACCCAGAAACTGTAAAGATGTTGAGTTGAAAATGGGGCATATTGATTTTCCCTCTAGGGTGGGCTCTGGGCTGCAAACTTATTTAGAAAAGCTCAAGAAAAAATGTAGTTACTTGAACTCCTTCATTCCTGAGTAAGTAGAAAACCTGTGATCTTCTTTTTCCTTAATCCCAATGTGAGTGCTTAATTTTGGACACAGTCTGTTTTTCGGTCTTGAGGTAATAAGATCGGGAAAGGGGATGAAGGCAATGTGCCTATGGACCAAGGAGAGCCATGAAAATCAGAGGAGAAATATAGATTCTATTTAAAAAAATGCAAACCGATTGCAGGCAAGACAAATTTATTCCTTTAACCTCTGAAATAACTATCATGGAGAAATGATTTGTGGCCGAGTATGAGAAGTGCTATGGTTGGGTTATAAGTGGGGCTATGGGGCCTGATATTCATCCCTTAGGCATTTACAGCTCAGTGTGGCGTTGGGAGATGAAGCCTGGCTGGACAAACTAGGCCACTGGACACGCGGCCTGGCAGGGTGTGTCTCCCTCCCTGTTCCCATGATGCCTCTCTGCTTCCTGCCACCACGCCATGAGCTGTTTCTTCTCTGCCCCACTACCCTCCCTGGGCGCTAGTCGACTATGGGCTGAAACTTTTACAGACTGTGAGGCAAAATAAACCTTTCGTCCTTTAAGTTGTGCGTGTTGGGTATTGTGTTTCAGCAACAAAGAAAGTGACTAAGACAAAAAGTAAGCAGAAAATGTTATCCAAATTTTAGCTTCTCCGGACTCTGTATCTCTTTTTAACCTAGAATGACTTATTCTACTCATTTGTTTTAAATGAAGCCAACAACAAAGAAATTCAGACCTTAAGAGTTGGTTTGGGGAATCCACCTTAGTAGGAAAAGCCAGGCTTAGTGGCAAATGGCTACAATGCCAGCAGTCTGGGAGGCTGAGTCAGGAGAATCATGGGCTTGAGAAATGCCTAAGAAACTGAGTAACTTAGGAAGAACCTCTCAGAACAAATGATTTTAGAAGTGCTAGAGATATAGCTCAATGTGAAGGCCCTAAGTCCTGCTCCCCCCCCACAAAAAAAAATATATATAACAAAAACCAAACAATTTAAAATATTTGATTGGATGCATACTCAGAAAATAAATTCTCCATTCTGCCAAAGTTTTATTATCATTATGGACAAATTTTTTAAATTGTTTTTATTTCAACCAGTCAAGTCCTCTGAAATTATGCCTGTTTGTTTTTCCTCATACTAAACTTCTAAAGTTCACATGCAGTAAACATATAATTTTACCTACCTTGGGCAAAGGGCATATGATGGAGAAAACACCAAACAAAATATCCTTCTCCTCGGTCCCAAACCACCTTACATTATAGCTGGACTTTTACATAGTGTGTTCATTTTCCATTTCCTCCACGGAGCTGTCCCTGTTGAGCAGTTCTTAACACCTGGCCCTGAGAAAATGTCCTGAGAGCTGTGCTGAATGATTATTTCACACTTAGCATCTTTTTGCCATTAATCACCACTCTCAGAGCAGGGCCCGGGCACTTCCACAGCCACCGGCCTTCTCCTTTCCTGAGATCTTGAGATCCTTGAGGGTTTAGGAAAGGCATGGAGGATGGGGAGAGAGAGAACAGCTATTTCCCTCAGTTAAATAAGTGTAGGGGAGCAGGCCCGGTAACACATGCATGTAATCCCAACTCTCCAGGCGGTGAAAGCAGGAGGGTCACGAATTTCAGGCCAATTTGGATAACTTCATGAGAGCCTGTCTTAAATAAAATAAAATAAGAAGGACTTGGATGTAGCTCAGCGTTCCCTGGATTTAATTCCCAATACTGCAAAGAAAAAAAAAAGATGTGATGGGGGAAAGGATAAAAAGAAAAACATTTAAAAAATAAAAAATCAGAAGCAACTTCGTTACTTACATATGTGAGGCGGGAGGCAGCACCATTGAGCTAAATCCTCGGCTAAGACAGATACATCAACCGTTTTTTTGATTTTTGCTTTGGTTTGTTCGTTTGTTTGTTTTTGAAAGTAAGCTGTTGTGTAGTTAGGCGCAGTGGCACAAGTCTGTAATCCCAGCTACTTGGGAGGCTGAGACAGAAGGGTACTAAATCCCAGGCCAAGCTGGGCAATTTAGCAATTTAACAAGGTCCTGTTTCAAAACAAAAACAAAACAAAACGAAACAAAAAGCTGAGGATGCACCTCAGTGGTAAAATGCCCTGGACTGGATAGTACCACAATTAACTAAATACATACAAAACAGATAAATAAATAAACAAGCAAGCTACTGTAGCAACTGCAGCGTGTTAAGTACGGTGTCCCCTGAGACTGTCAGCAAGCTCTGCAGGTACCCCTGGACACAGAAAGACATCTCCGCGCTCCGCCCCAATCCCGGTCCCATGAGGGTAACAGCAAGCAGCATTGACAAAGACGTTACTCCTATGCCGCGTCCTACTTTTTGGTCTCCACACGCATACTAATCTGATCTCCTATTTAAGGTCCCAAATACTCTCTGAAGTGGGCACCCTTGGGTGCTTCTGGAGTGCAGCACTTTGTGGATTTCAGAAGACGACATGCCACACGTGCTGTGAGAGAGCAGATCCCCTCCGTGGGAGATGGAACTCAAAAGCATGCACTTTCCTACCTCCACTATGTGTGGACAGAAACCAAAGCAGCATGAAGGCCATATTAAACAGTGTAAGGTCAGATTTTAATGTCAAATGTGGTTTTGCCAAACCTATTTTTTTTTATTTATTTATTATTTATTTTGCTTTCGAAGGTTGAATTTTGAAATTGAAAATCAGATGGAGTCAAAAAGGATGAAGCACCTTGCCCTAGGGTACTGCTGGTTGGGAAATCTCTGATTCCCTGCCCGCCACCCACCATCTGGCCTGGGGCTCTCTCCGGGTGTCTAAGCAAGTGCAGGTGTCTGAAGTCCTTCTGCCTGTGCTGGAGACTCGCCTGCCTCTCCTTCGGTGCTCTTCTTCTTCTGCACCTCACCTAGAAAATGATCACACAAAGGAGGACACTGATCGTCCTCCAGGGAGAGAGCAGGAAGAAGCAGCAGAAGCTTGGGTCTCCTTGTTCCCTTAGGGTTCAGGGCCTGAGAAACGGAAGGGAGGGGAAGAAACTGGATGGGGATAGGGAAGGGGCAGTGGAAGAGAGGACGGACGGAGAGGACAAAGCCAAAGGAGGAAGTGACCGGGAGGATGCAACGGTGTGAGTCAAAAGTGCCCTCCGGCAAGCTGATGTGTTCAGAGGTGGGATTTTAAAAGGCGATGAGATCATGGGGCTCTAAGCATTGGTAAATTGGTCTACTGATGAGTCCATAGTTGAATGTGCCCTTAGGTGGAGACTGGTTGGAGGAGTGGAGACACTGGGCCAAGCCTTTGAAGGGTTTCTGTCTCTCTCTCTCCAGCTCTTCCTCTGCCACTTCCTGGATGTCATAAGTCAAGCAGCCTTCCTCTCCCAGGCTCTTTCGCTTCTACCTCTGGAGCCAGCCCACCATGGCCTGAAATCTCTGAAACCTTGAGCCAAAATAAACCTTTTCTCCTTTAAGTTGTGGAAGTCAAGTATTTCATCCCAGGAATGGAAAGGTGATCGATTCAGAGTAAAGGCCCGAGAGACCTGGAGTCTGGGATCCAGAAATGATCAAAGCATTAAAGAAATTCTAATTCAAGACATTTCTGCTACTGCAGTGTAAGCCTCGGGAAGTCATTTGCCCAGGAAGTGCCTTCTGCTAGTGACTGCAGATAGGAAAATGAGGCCTTGCTTCACAGTTATGTAGCATGAAAAAGGTCAGCTGGGATAGGCTGGCGAAATGGTCACGAAATTGACCTAATCGAGGATAGCGTGAAGTTAAAGGCCAAACTTCAGAAGAGCAGGTGTGTAACTTGGGAGGATGCAAAAACTGGATGATGACCTTGGCCGTTAGCAGGCCAAAGGAATA